TTTTCTTAGCCTTTTTCTTTACTCGTTTTAAGGGTTGTGTGATGTCGACAGTTGTCTCGATCAAGGGAAGAGGCCGTTTACCCGTTATCGTTGACCCATCAGCAATATCCGTCAAACTTGGCATAGATGAGGCCACTTTGCGAGGAACAATCAAAATGGTAATGGCCTGCGCAAAAGCAACATCCGATGGGGTTGGGGTGGTCAAAGTTATCTTAGGAGAGGTGGCGGTGACAACAATGACCTTCTTTGAGGGAGGAGCAAGCTTTTTCTTGGTCCCGACCATCGTAATCATTTCGACCCATTTTATTGAACGGCTAGCTGAAAAAACTTATGAGAAATTAGTAGTGAAGGAAATCAATCGAATGCATAAAATACATATAAAAAACAATTGAAAAATACCTTGAGTCACTTCTTTAGATTTCAAGACATGAGCTTTTTTAGGCCGATCACCAAAGGCTTGCTTTATTCTTTCTTTGACCAGTGTGTCGACAAAGTCCTTAATATAAGCGGTTTACCAGTCAATGAAAGTACTAATGCCATGAATTTTAGGGGCATATGGTTGAAGACGAAATTTAGCATACCGTTCTTTGAGTTCTTTCTTTGCTTCATTGCACTCATTTTATGAGGAGCCAGAAAGTCGTTCTCGGCTCAGAAGTGAGTGAAAAGTGAGCAAAGGCAAGGGGCAACCCTAAAGGTAACCAAGCTGCCGAGCCAAGAAGTGAGGATGGTACACTTCCCAGCTAGCTCAATGTGGGTCGCAACAAAATAGAAAGTCACGAGTTAACAGAAATGATCCCCAGTTTTGCCAAAGAGCGACGTCTTCTGTTTCTCCCCAAGCTAATGTTAAGAGATGGATAGAAAGGGGGATGGTTTATTCGATGACAAATCAGGAATTCATCATCAGAAATGTCGTCTAGGCTGAAGAAGTATTTGAATATTTCTTCAGCCGAGTAGGTTGGGGTTGGTCGAGAGGCTAGTTGGAAACCCATTGCTTCGAAAGAATCAAAGACGAGGTAGAAAACCCATAGTGGGTCATTCTAGTGTGGGTCGATTTCTCGACCATGGCCTTAGTGAGGCAGTGTGTGAGATTGGCTTTGTCAACCGGTATGTTCTCGGCGAGGCAATTGTTTGATTTGGTACAAAAGATGAACTTATTGTACCAATAAAATAAAAAGGCCTTATGTTCTCCTTTCTTGAGGCCACTTTGACCAGCAAAGTGGGTGATGAGCGTGTTGTGATTGAAGAAATTCTTGTGGAGTTTGTATTCGTCATTTAGCACTTCTTGGTCATTTCTCTTCAGAACCTTGTAAGCATATTCCTCGAAGACCGTCTTTAGGTCTAGGTCGAATTAATACCTAGAGAGGGCAGTATCAATTAAAATGCCAGATAGCAAAGTGCCGAGAAGGCCGTTACATCTAATATAGTCGACCTAATAAGGCTGAGAGGGAGTACCATGGTGTTCGTGGCTGAACACAATAAACTTAGAGCAACCATCAAGAGCTCTTGATTCATACTAATCTCAATGGTTGAAAGTTTGATGGTGTCAAAGATACCAAGCTCTTTCCAAGCTGCACCGAAGTGAGGTTCTAATCGGTCGAGCCAAATGGCCCAGTTCACAAGGGTAGAAGGCCATGCCCCTTAGGGTTTGGCCGAATCCCATTTCAACCAGCCGTGGCCTTAGAATAGAGGATTTAGACAATTGGTCTTTAATAGCTCGGTGATAGGTTTTGGGATGGCACCCTTGAACAGAGGTCCTAGAGCATGATGAGTTAGGACTGCTTCATCCTCATAATGGAGGGTTTTGACGGCATTGTGGTCAATGAAGTCTTGACATTTATTGCACTCCTCAGTGAGTTTGGTGATGAAGGTGTTGGAAGCCATTGGAGAAAAGGTTGAAAGTTTTCTGGGTTTCAAAAGTTTTTCTGGGTTTTGAACAATTAAAAGCAAAATGGCAAGAGCTTTAGATTTCTTGAAAGCGTAAATGAGGAATGAGGCTGGAATTGGTATTTATAGGCAACTGGGGAAGAAGATCGACGATTTTAAATTCAAAAGTTGAGGGGTAAATCCGACTGAAATGTTTTGTAATCACTATAAAAATAAAAAATCCAGGTGAAGAGGCTGAAAAGCATGCAAATCGGGGTTGCATGATTGCGTGTAACGGTGAATTATAAGGTACAATCATTATGAAAAGACGTTTCAATGTCTACATGCCTCAAACATGGGGCATGTACATCACTGAAGCTAGACAGTTATGACAAGAAGCTACCGCGTGTCAGACATTCACAACTAGTAAGGACTGACATGTAGAGTGGGAGATCATGTCTAATAAATGCATCTAAGTAGGTGGATGGAGAATATTCGCAAGGATTATTTGTTTGGCCGTATAGTGTAGGCCAAAAGTTTGATTTTTAGTTGATAACTAATCGCTTCTTTAAGGCCGCAGTTCGACCAGATGCTGTAGGCCGAAGACCTCAGAAGAAAGGGGGCAATGTTTGGGCCCAAATAACACTTTGGACCGAGCCCAAAATTGTTCTCAGTGCAATAAAGAATATCAGGAATATTCTTTACCATAGGCCGAGCCCAGTAGAGTTCAGCCGAGTCTTATCAAGAAATGGTTTTATCTGGATAAGGGTGAAGTGGTCGAATCCTATTACAATAAGGATTCTTTAGAAGCTAAGGATGATTCGAATTAGAAAAGATGTCGAAAGACAAGGTTTGAATTTGGGTGATTAGAGAGCTTGATTCAGAATCATATGGGGGTTAGAATTGGTCGAGACTTGATCAGATTGGGTTAAGGAATTCTAGTTCGAGTGAAATTCTAACTCAATTATTTGGGAAATTGTTACTATAAATAGAGAATGGAGTACATCATTCAAAACCCCCTCCATATCAACACACAATTGCCCTGTGCAAACAACATTTCAAAGACTTTAAGATTTTTATTTTCCTTTTGCCCTCCCAACACACCTTCAGCTTAGATAAACAGCACTGTGGTGGCAACCGGCAACATCTTCATTTTGGATAAACAGCACTTGAGTCGTAAAATTAGCCGATCGAGGATCACCTTTAGTTTGGATAAACAACACTGCTTCGAGACTGATTGGTTACCTATGCAAGTCTTGGCCATGAAGGATTTCCTAGTCCTTGTTGGAAGAGGTCATCTCATAGTCTTATTGGTGAAGTGAGATGTTACCAGGTTACTACATTTGGCACACTGAAAGGCGAATTTGATATTGAACTTCGCAGAACTAGTAGCTTTGCCTTCAGGCTCTAGAACCCGAAGGCAAAGATGTTTTCCTTGGCTGTAGTCGCAAGATCAAGAAGTCAGCAGCACGCCCAATGCCATATCAACATTCATATACTCTCCGTAGTATATTTATCAACTAAGGTTACATCTTTATACAATGACTTTCACAATATGATCCTAAACTATTGCCTACAAACAAGGCTAATAAGAGGCTAAACAAAGAGGTAAATAACTAAACATGATCAATTTACAATATTGACTAATTAATTTGAGATTTTGTTAAAAAAACAAAAATTAAATTGAGATATCTTCCTTAACATATACTTTCACAATATTGTTCACTCACCACTACATGTTGCTATTACCATAAACTAAAATTTGCTCGTTATCGCAAGCTGGAGGATCCACAAAGAACGAACTCAGATTGATTGACAATTGAACTCAAAACAAGTTAGAATGACTTTGATTAGGTGAGAGAGGCAAAGTCGCACAAAGATCTCCCTACCAAGATTTCTCCCTTTCTTCTTTCTTGAAATTATGTAGAATTAATTCCAAACACCACCAAATGGCCATTGACCAATATTCTTTTTCAAATGAGGAATAATTGCAATTGGAAAATTGATAGGTTATGCATATATATATTTGCCTAACTGGATCATTTGAAAAACCATAAGAGAGACTGGGAGAGGATTTGTGGGTAGTAGGCGTTGCGAGAGACCTAGATAGAGAAGAGCGATTGAGACCGACAAAAAGAGGAAACTCAGGTAGTGTGAAAGAAAAGCTGCACAAGGAGTTTATAAGGAAGGGCTTTTCAACTTTTCATGCTCTTAAAGTTTCTATACTAACTAGCAAAGTCTTTAAGTTATTTTTTTTTAATTCTGCACCACGATCGTGGTTGAATCATTCTATTTTTTTGGCTAATTTTCCTTAATTATTTTTTAGGTACAAAGGGGTGCCAATGCCCAATGCCCAAGAAGAACGCTAAACAAAAGGATACATCAACTCAAAGAGTTCGCAGTCCTAACAACTCCAGAGATATCTTATTCTCTTCCCTCCTAATCTCTCTCCCCTTTATATTAGAGCAGCATCTCCACAATCATACGTCCACGATACAAGCTGGCCTTCACTGCCAATATATTAGAGCAGCATCTCCAAAAGAAAACGCAAAGCTAAATAACTTCGCCTTGTAATTACTCACAGTTTGTGCGGTTAATTGTAGTGGCAAATGAATTTGAAAAGTAATTAAGTATTGTCTTGTGCTTCACTCTCACACGTCAGAGTTGTAGCTCAGCTTTTACCACGTATTCTCAAACATTTTGATTTCCTTACATTACCATCTATTTGGTTACGAAAAAGTAAACAATAGATGAATAGAGAATTTAAGTCTGAGATTTTTATTTTGTTGCTTCTTTTGCCTCATTGAATAAGGTTTCTTGCACAAGTGTTCCAGTATTGAATATTTTCTTCTTGGATATGTTTGTTTCTCTTGAAATAAAGTTTTTTTGACAGTGGAATTAGATATTTGTGACAGCACGGCAATTATATATCATTGGGGGAGATTACTGTTAAATGCAAAATTGTTGTCATTCATTTGTGAAATCGAGATTTGAAATATCAAATACTAAAATTTTGGTGCATTCACGGTTTTGCAATAGCAAAATTGTTGTCATTCATTTGTGAATTCGAGATTTGAAATATCAACCGCTAAAATTTTGGTGCATTCACGCTTTTACAATAGATTCTAAGGGTTTATATATATACTTTTTTCATTTTTAACTGAAATGGAGATACAAATGTCTAAATTAAGTATCCTGGTACAAATGGGTTGCCGAAGTGTCAAGGAGTTAGTGATAGGATAAGTGATTAACAAAATGATCTTCTTCTCGCATACTTTTTTTCTTTTTTTTTCTCTTTTAAAAAGGGGTCAGCTGGTGGCTTCGCCACTGCAGTCCATCATTTCGGGGCTCGGGAAGACTCACAGAAGCATTTCAGAGTCCCCTAGTCACCATCGTGTGATTCATCAAAACCAGGAATCGAACCCAGAATGTACTGTGTAAAATTTGAACCTGAAATTTTTCCTAACCAGTGGGTCATGCCGTGGTGCTTCTTCTCACATACTTTCGTTTCTTCCAACGAAATATGCTGTGAGGACCACCATTTTGTCTATAAGTTTTCACTGAAATTAGGCAACTCAGTGAAAAATGTTTTATCTTACCTCCCTGTACTTGAAGATTTGGATATACAGGGAAGTCTTGATGAAGGCAACGTCTGCACCAGAAATGAGGGCGTTAGTACGTTAAAGTTTTAGGGTTTGAAAATGTTGATCACAAACATAATTTTTATTAATGCTCTGAAATTCGTAACCACGCATATATATAGGACACATAACAGTGATATGGAATCCCTAGCACAAGAAGTTCATATCAAAACTTTGTCAAATCTGTTTTACTTTTTATTTTTTGTTTTATTTATTTATTTATTTATTTTTTTGAGAAATTTGGCAGATCAATTCATTTACGAAATTTAAAAAACTGAAACATCCACTCATGGAAAACAAATAAAAATAAATTATCTTTAATAAATAAGAAGGATTAAAAGCTGGCAAAAAAACCAAAATCTGGCTTGTTTATCAGGTTTCAATTTACTCACCAGGTATTGAACATAATAAACTGAATTAAAACATGGCTTGTTTAAGATGAAAGAAACCTAGGTAGGGAGCTTTTCAGGTATAAGAAAACAATTTTCTTAAGAAAAATTTTGGACCAGAGATCATAATCATTGGCTATCACTCGGTAGAAAAACAACGAATTGGGATCATTCTTTTGAAAAGCTGTGATATCGGACACAATAACAAGTCTGTAAAGCGAAATTGCTAACCGGTTTTTTGGAACATGGAAGAATTACGAAAAGGCACAAAAATCTATGCTCTTGAGAAAATTATCAGATTATATGACGTATGATAAGGAAACCCTAGCACTCAAATTATGTCAAAACTAAGGTTTTCCAGATCTGTTTTTCATTTTCCTTTTTCAGTAAATTTGGCAGCGATGGAAGATCGATCAATTTACCAACAAACCAAAGCACATCGGTCGTTTCTCGCCAATGCCAAACAAAAACAAATAAAAAAAAATAGATCGGTATATGAAGGGTTAATTACTTGAGCAGCCTTCACTTTTCAGCGTTTCCTCGTACCTGGTGGTCACTCGATTGGGACAAGTTCTACAAAACAAAATCAAATATAATGGTTAAAGACGAAATAGAACGGGAATATATCTGATAACCAGGAAAACGAAACCTGAATCATAGATCTATATATTGTTGCTGGAAAAAGGATCAAAGGGTAATTCATGTGTATATACCTCTGGTAAATCATGAATGCGATAATAAGTCAAATTCTTCGGTCTTTTAGCATCATCTTCCTCTTCATCTTGGGCTTCGCACAAAGCCCCGTAAACCAAAACCATTCCCCCGATATATTGAACTGAAAATCTTATAAGAAATAAGAGAAAGAGAGAGGTGGGCAGATTCGTACACACACCAACTGAGGAGTGTTTGCCTCAGTTTTATAGAATAAGCGGACGGCGGTTTTGAAAAACTGTTGGCTTCAATACCTCTATCTGGTATTAGGGTTTGGTGGCTTAATCTTATCTGCTGCCTCAGCAACATCAATTCACCGGATTCCGTTGGCACGTGTGTTTGGTTGATGTGCCTGGTTTAACCTATTATATCAGTTTCACGTATTTGTTTAAGAAAAGAGAGGAGCATTTTCTGTTTTTGTTTAATCTTGATTTTTAAAAACAAGTTTTGTAAATTTAAAATTTTTATTGGTTAGTGTAGTTACGTAACTTTAACTTTTTATGAAAGAGCATTATTGTTTTGTCGAAAATGATAGAGTTCGGTTCAAATATATGAAGGGAGAATTTGTTGATAAAAAAAGTATTGTTGTTTTGTCGAAAATAATGCAGTTCGGTTCAAATATATAAAGGAAGATGTTTTTGACACTCTAAAAATAAGATGTTTTTGACACTTTAAAAATGGTATAGTGCATTTCTTCTTAATGAAAACAAAAAGGAACAAATATACATGTGAAGTTGTGTGATGACTTTTTTTAATGTGCCAATAAGAATTCTCTTAATAAATAAATGGAGATGGAAAACCGCCGATGACTTTGAGACGCAAGCTTCTAGTTATGGTACGTGAATGGTTTAGGGTTTAGGAAAAATAGACCGGTTTTGTATTACCATTATATTTGAATTACCAAAACAATCCTTCTATAATGTGGATGACCAAACATTCATGATCTCAATGCGAGTGAATTGAATTTCGAAATCTGACTTTAATATCCTACGGTTGAGGAAAATTAGACTGATTTTGTATCACCATTCTATTTAAATTACCAAAAACAATCATTCCTTAACGTGAATGACCAAACATTGATGATCTCAATGTGAGTGAATCGAATTTCGAAATCTTACTTTAATATCCTTCCATACAAAATTTGAGAGCTCTCTTTTGTGATTAATGACAATAGTAACTCAATTATACGCTTTTATCACTAAACAAGTGAATAATAAACATAAAAATTTAGGCCACTAATAGTAGTTACACTCCACTTTCTTTAACAAGGAACTGAAGAAATTGAAGGACTAATTCTAGATTTTCAAGGCTCTGGCAAGGCTTGCTTCAGTAACAGAAGCATTTGCTACTATGAAGAAACTAAGATTGCTCCAACTCAACTATATAAGTCGAGCTTGATGATGGAGAGTACAAATATCTTCCCAAAAAGTTAACATGGTTGTGCTGGCATGGTTCTCCTTTAACGTCCATACCAAATGACCTTTTTAATCAACCATAGCTAGTTGCTATAGACATGCAGTTTAGCAAACTAGCACAAGTTTGGGAGGGTTTTAAGGTATAACAACCCAAATTCCCAGTTATTAGTTTTCTCTCTTTCATATTTTATGCACAACACAATTTGTTTATTACGAGACCTTCGTATTGGAATCTAATTTCTCTTGACCTTTTGTTTTGTGTAACAGTTACTTGAGAAGTTAAAATCCTTAATCTCAGTCATTCCCATTACCTAACAAAATCACCAGACTTTGTAAATCTTCCAAATCTTAAGAATTGATATTCGAAGACTGTTAAAGTTTATTCAAGATTCACCCATTCATTGGTTGTCTTGAAAGACTTTCTTTCGTTAATCTTGACCGCTGCACAATGCTTCAGGATCTTCCAGGGGGCTTCTATAAGTCAAAATCGATTCAGATTCTTCTTCTTAATGGTTGTTCACAATTCACAGAGCTACCTGAGCGCTTAAGGAAGTTGCCATGGTATCATTAACAACACTTGAAGCAAACTACACGACCATAAGAAAAGTACCATCTTCCATAGTAAGATTGAAGAAACTCAAATCTTTATCTCTATGGGGTTTGCATGTGTACGTGTATGGGTCACCATCGAGAAGCCATTTGTTGCCCTCACTACATGGTTTAAACTCTTTAACGCAATTAGATCTCTCATGCTGCAAATTAACTGATAATGCAATCCCAGAGGATCTTAGGAGTCTAATTCTTTTAGAGAATTTGGGTCTTCAATTTAATTGTTTCCGTAGACTACCAAGCCTTGATGGTCTTTCAAAGCTTGAAAAATGTTGAGGTTGGAGCCAAGATCTTCGTGCAGTTCCCGAATTACCAACAAGTTTGAAATTCTTGCATGCAAATGGTTTTCCTGAATTGGAAAAAATTACCGACTTTTCGGAAATGTCAATATGATAGAACTGAATATCAACACTACTAAATTAAACACTTTGCGTGACGAGGGACTCTTTGTCGCGCAAAGCATTTTCAGGTCGCACAAATCATTGCACAGAATTTGTCATGCAAAGGTCGTGAAAAAGACCTTGGGCGACAAAGAAGTGGAATTCGTCGTGCACCTAAACGATTGCAAGACACTTTAGTACTCGTTGCGCGAAGGGTATACGGACAAAGGCTTTCATTGCATGATATAAAAGGGTACAAGTTGATGAAATTGGGGTTCCACCATAAAACCAATTGGCAATATGAGGAGTAGCCCAAGATCATATAAGCACATAGCAAACCTTGTCCCTCACCAATGTGGGACAACTCTCAACACAAGTGTGCTTTGTAACGAGAAATTTTTGGGGACGTCTATAATTCATCTCAAAAATGTAAGACGCGCGTGATTTTGCACAACGAAATGTGTAAGACACGTGTGGTTTTGCGTGACGACATGTTGGCGTCACGCAAGAGTAGTTTTTAATAAAAAAATAAATAAATAGAATAAAAGGAATACTATTAAAAAATATATTTCATACAATTGACAAAAAAAAACAAATTAATGAATAAAAAAATTATTTATAATATAAATAAAAATGTACGTACAAATAAAAAGTTTAAAAAAAAAAACGGGAACAAAAACTACGAAAAAATGAGGAATAATTTATGGGCAAGTCGTTCGGAGGTGCTTGGTAATTTTGTTGCTGGAAGGGGGTGGGGTTGGGGATGGAGTCGGAGGTCGACGAGACTGATTCTCGGGGTGGAGGGACTCTAACGGTAGTGGCGCAGAAAAACCGGGGAGACCAATCCCGGAGGAACTGAGGGCTTATACAAACAATGACATTTGAGACTTGTACAATGCAAGCTCACTCCTTAGGCCAGCGACTTCCTGCGTCAAGGTCGTAACCTCACCCTTTGACTGTGAGGATGAAAAGGCTCCACTCTCTTGCCGCCTGGCATTTCCCATCCCCAACAATATGTCCCTGGCCTTCGACCGAAAGTCTGGTCCAACGTCTCTATGAGGATGTGAAACCCCACATGCGACTAAGTTAACATGGGAATAAGGGAGTAAATTAGGATAATATACCTGGCTATGTACCAGAGGCATCGGTTGTAGATCTCGATGGCGACATCTGGTCCGGAGTGCGGAGGCGTCGGTGAGCACGACAGGCTCTAACAGGTAACACCACCGAAGAAGTTGAAGATGCCAGCACTTGTGGGACTAGAGGACCAATTGGGTCAACCAGATTCACCGGATCTGCCGAAGCAGTGGTGGCAGTAATAGGTGTAGTCATTGAACGAGGTGTAGAAGTCATCGCCTTTCGGGTTCTAATGAGCTATGACATCTACAAAATTGCACTACAACAAAAATGGTCACTATGCACAATAAATTATATGTGCCCTTTGAGGCCAACAAGCACCAACAATTGTGCTCATAGACCAATAGCAACAGTGCAGCAACTAAATTTGTATATGTGCCCTCTATAGGCGTCACCATTGCTAAAAGGGCACAATACACTGTTTGGTGCTCAAAGAGGCAGGCACAAATAGTGGACTATTTGTGCCTGTTTCTGACAACTTTATCAGAAGACCTTTTCCAGCCATATTGACCTTTATATTATAATTGTGCCAACAAGAATTAAATATAAAAAAAAATCAAAATTTAAAACAAAAACTAAAACTGAATTAAGGAAATGCAAAAATTTAAATTTTCAGGAAACAAAGAATAAAGCTGGATGCCATGCCACATTGCCACTAAGAAAACAATGTTATATATTTGAAAGAAAATGGACGAACTGTAAAGTGACTATAACTTACAGAACAATATCCATATGTTGAGGAGCATAATGTCCACCGCTTAATCCAAGAAGAACTTTATTCTTATCCTTCTCCCTAGAGCGCCAATAATATAGAAAATGAAGTTAGAGAAGCATCAAACTTTGGTTAAAATTGCAAACAAAGACATGAGCTTTTCATGAAAATCAATATACCCGATCTAGTTTCCAACAACAGCTCCCCCTCCAAGCCCAAGTCCTTTCCAAACTAACTGCAAGCATAGAAATTGCCACCAATTTATTCTCATGAGTTGTTTGTTCTATTAAACTTTATAAGCTCAGGGAAAACCAGAAACATTACGAAGAGAGGAAAAGTATTTATTTAAAAAACCAACAGTAGGACGTATCAATGACTTGCTCAAATGATTGAAATTGGTAGTCGTCTACTTAACTAGAGCCATAACTTGTGTTGCATCTTGCCTCTTCCAATACTCATCTGTGCTGCCTATATCAACCAAGTAACATAAAAAAACAATAAACCCTCAAATGCATAGTAAAAATTACGAAAAACCATGTCACATATAGAAGCTTCAAATTGAATAACAGCTTTCCAAAGCCAAATATACCATTGGCTAATACATTAATTAGTACATATACAACTCAATATTTTTTAATTCATAAAAATAGCCAATCACCTTCCAGTGTAAACCTATTCGAAGTGATAGTAGGTCACTTTCCATTCAAAGCAAAAATGGGTCTGTTTGAATCTGAACCATATCAAATCCTCTTTTGATTATAACCCAAAAGAGAAAAAAGCTCAATTCCCTTGTGTTTCAAACGAACCCTAACCCTAAAATTAATCACAAATTATTAACTAAATTAACCAATACAAGTTCTAAATTGTTACCATTTTACCTAGAACAAAGTGGAGAGGAA